TAGATCAAAGATCAATAGAAATTATATAAAATACAATTTATATGAATGACTATCAAACACCAATTAAAGACTGTATAAAACACAATGTACATGAATAAAACACAATGTAAATGACTTCTTGGATGCAAGCCAATTCAAAATAATATGATGTGCTTATATAGGACAATGTCATCAAGACATACATCCTTAAATGTTTAGGGATAAAGCATTCTATCTGTACTAACACTTTCAAAGGGTCTAGAACAAAATTGCATATACACAGAGCGAAGTACAAACCAAGCCTGATACATTCGCAACCATCTACGTGCAGGCTAAAGGTAAGATGCTGGCCACTGCAGTACTCCTCTGAATTTTTTTTTTTTAATATATATTTGAAAATGTTCAAAATAAAAACCTAAAGGATGAAAAAGCAACATATTTAATATTCGGGGCTCAGGTATTTAGATAGACCAAAGTTCTCAGAAAGAACGCTGATGGTGTAGCATTTCATGTAAACATGATGAGTTGCAAACCAAAGGTCAACTGTTCAAGTCCACAAGCCACCCCCGCAGGAGAAAGGTAGGCAGTGTGCCCTGTAAAGATTTACAGTTTCAGCAGGGTGGCTGTTAGAATTAGTTTCACAGCACTGAATTTAATTTTTTGTTTGGTTCTCATTCCTAAATAGCAATAAAGTAAAACATCTGTACAACTTCTGGGAGAGTGTGAGGTTAATGAGGGATTTAACAGAGGCCAATTACCACACATTCATAACTTGGAATTCTGTAACAGCCTTTGAAAGATTAAGATATTATCTATAGCTAATATATCTGAAAGTCCAAACATATTAACTGAATAAAGCAAACAGTATTGCTGTAGAAACTAGGAGTTAATTCATTAATAAATATCTGAAAAAGTAATGTATTAAGAGTGGTTACAGTCAGCAGGATTTTAATAATTACTTTCACTTTCACCTATGTTTTTCATATATTATCACTGTTACACTAGAGCAAACACATCATGTCAGAGATAATAAACCTAATTTACCAAATCTACAAAAGCATCTTTCATTTTTATTTTTTAAGTTAAATTTTCTTTTAAATAAAGTTTTAGATTTATAGACAAAATGAGCAGATAGTGCAGAGTTCCTGTACCCAGTTTCTCTATTAACAACATTTTACATCAATTCCATTTGTCACTCTTAATGAAATGATGTTAATTTATTATTACTTCTTCTTCCTGTATATCATCAAGCTTGAACCAATCCATAGCTGGCCCTCCAGAGGGTTTTCAGAGGTAGTAAACTGCATGAAAAGAGACTGTCCATCCTTCTTCGACAGAGCGACAGGTGGACTCAAACTTCATGCCTCTGCGAATACAGCACAGCTTCTTACCACTAGGCCACCAGAGCTCCCGACATTATTACTAGCATTGAACACTGAGTAATATTTCTTAGTTCTGACCTAGTGGCATCTTTCATTTTTAGCTTTGAGATTTGAGTTAGATAGCAGAGGCAGACTGTGCAGTTTGATTACAGCAATCAATAACATTTATAATCTCATGTCAAAAAAAATAACAACAAAGTAACACAATGAAGCCATTACTCACAAATTCTTCATTAACTATGTATATTAACTGAAAACTACTTCTAACTTGCAATATGGAGAACTATGTCTTACTAATTTTCAACTCTGCCCTTACAAGGCATAGAGTCTAACCAGAATCAGTCAAGGAAATAATTATTCAAAGCAAGCACAACATATCTGAGGGAAATATTAGCTGAGATACAACTCCAATTAGCATGATGCTAAGAAGGATAAGCAACAAGAAACAAAGGCAGAGGAGACAATGCATTAAGTAAGTTTTCTTCAGACAAATTAACAGAAGCGGCCATCAGGCCTATGAGAGTGTCACACAAAAGATTTGTGTAGCTTTGAAAAAATTATCATGAAAGAGAAAAGTTCACAAATAAGACGGGGGGGGGGAATATAGCTCAAAGACAGTATAAAAGAAGACATTCTTTCAATTTGGAATTGAGGCTATCTCTATAGGTCAAGGTCATCTTGCAGCTAAATAATGTTGCTGTTGTTAGGTACCCTCAAATCAACTAAAACTCAAAGCAACCCTATGAACAGATCAAAATCTTGCCCTATCCTGTGCCATCCTCACAATCTCAACCATGCTCAAAGCCATTGCTGCAGTGACTATGTCAATATACAGCAAGAGTCTTCCTTTGTTTCTCGGACCCGCCACATTTCTCAGCGTGATGTTTTTTCCCGAAGGACTGGTCCCTCCTGACAACATGTTCTAGATATGGGAGACGAAGTTTCACCATCTTTGCTTCCAAGGAGCACTTCTGGTTGCACTTTCTCCAAGACAGATTTGTTTCTTCCTTTGGCAGCTCATACTTTCGCCAATCCTACATTGCAAAGGCATCATTCTACTCCTGTCTTCCTTATTACTGACCAACTTTCAGTTGCAAACAAAGCAACTAAAAATAGCACAGCTTGAGTTAAGGTTGTTACGTGCTGCTGAGTCAGAACTGATCCATAGCTCACCTTCCAGAGGGTTTTTAGAGGCAGTGAATTGCATGGGAGATCATCCATCCTTTTCTTATGGCGTAGCTGATGGATTTGAACTATGTGCCTTTGGGACTACAATGTAGATATTTACCCCTCAGCCACCAGAGCTCCCTTTCAATTAGGGTTAGGTGCACCTTAATCATTAAATTAACATCCTTGCTCTTTAGCACTTTAAAGAGGTCCTGGATAGCAGATCTACTCAATGCAACAGCCAAATAATAAACGAACTTATAAAATGTCACCTATAGGTAACATTGTATGTACTCCTGTAAACCATTAACTATTTGAGATCCCATGACAAACAATAACCTTAAAACAAACATAGGTCCAAACAATGAAACTAAATGAATGGAAAAAGAACACTGAATGAAAATGAACAAAAATCCTCAAAACTGTAAGCAATAGTATGGAACAAATGGTACAAAAATTGTTAAAAAGGAATGTAATTTGCCTTGTAAAGTTTCACCTGAAACACAAAATATTTATTTGTATTATTTAAATGTTAGATAAAAAATTATAATTTTAAAAAATATATGTGAAACTCAGTTCATTTCCTCAAGGTACTCAAAGATAAATACTTTTCCTCCCTCTTAACACCAATTAAAATAGAAAAATGATAGTAGCAGACAATTATAGATGAAAAATGTAAAGGAATACCATAAAGAGTACAATTAAGAACTACTGCTTACATCCCACAAAAAGGGCTGCTTCTAATTCAGGTTACAAAGCTGAGTTTTGAACTCAGGGCTATTTCTCTCCCAAGACTCAGTTCCTGACATCATGCTGCCTTGTGTCCATGAGGAGGACACAAGTCAAAAATACTACAAATAACTATACAGAAAACAGCATGTAAGATTCATTTGATGTGTACTTAAAGACCAAGGTTTATGATTACTGGAATTTTTGTTCAAGGATTTAGTTTGTAATTAATACAATCTATCAATAAAACAAAACTAAACAGGAAAAGTTTGTAGAATGACTACAGCAATTTGTAAATGTAATATGGGACAGTATGAAGGTTAGTAACAAATTCTCAGTGTCATCTGATCATGTTACATCAAAATTAGAGGTTGGTTAGCTATACTGTGTTAAGCAAAACTGATAGACCACCTTTTCTGTAAAGTTTTACTGGGACATGCCCTTTTGTTTACATACTATCTGCAGCCGCATTCGGCTACAATGCCAACCTGAGTTACAATCATGCAAGTCAACAAAGTTGAGAATATTTTTTATCCAGCCCCTTAAGTTTACTGACCTCCAGTATAAATGAGAACTACGCTCCTTGGAGGCAGGGATGATGAAGCTGTGTCTCACATACTTTGGGCATGTTGTTAGGAGGTGCCAGTCCTTGGATAGAGAAATCATGCTTGGAAAAGTGGATGGTCAGTAAAGGAGAGGAAGACCCTCGAAGAGATGGACTGACACAGTGACTACTGCCATGGACTTAAAAGTGTCAGAGAGGAGTGAAAATGACACAGGAGAACACAAGGTTCAGATCTGTTGTTCAGAGGGTCTAGTCAGTCAACTCACTGGCACCTAACAATAATATATATCACAAATGATAGGAAAAAATTGTTATGTACAGTTAATTCTGTTATGCATTGTTATGACTGACAGCTGACTCTCTCTTCAATGTGTTTTAAATGTTCTGTATCTATCGCACAGAAGAAACCATCATCTTTCTCTCATGGAGCAGCTGGTGAATTCAAACCACATACTTTTGGGTTGACAGTGCAATTCTTTACCACTATGCCACCAAAACTTGTAATTCCTCTATATGTTGGTGTCATTAAATAAATACTAATGAGCTTATAAATTCTACAAATATGTTCACTTTTCAAGTATTTTCCAGAGAGATCTTAATTCAGATGTTCAATAGTTTACCCTTCACATTATTACAAGCAATATACTAATTAAAGCATGGTTATAATTACTCCCATACATATGTATCCTTTAGTTTAGTAACATTAACAAAGATATATACAAAAGCAAAATATAGAAACAATAGATGATTTGACCAAATGTTTCCTAATATCTTGTTCATACTAATGGGCTCTGATGGCACAGTGCATTATGTTGTGTCACTGCTAATCAAATGTCAGAGGTTAAAATTACTAGAAAAGAAATACAGGCAGTTTCTCCTGTAAAGATTTATAGCCTGGGAAATGTGAAAGAAAGCCACCATGAATCAGAATCAACTTGTGGGCAGAGGGGTTCCTGTTCACACTACAACATTTCATTTAAAATACCTTTTAGGATGAAGACCAACAATTAGCACATGAATGCTTATTAGAAACAAGCTCAGGGCCTTCATTCCAGACTTACTGATCCAGAATCTCTGGGGTAGGGTCCAAGAATAAGTATTTCATAAGCACTTTCAGGTGATCCTTAAACACCCTAAAAAAGTTTGCGAAGCAATTTGCTGGAGTTTATATTACTTACTTTGAGTGTAAAAAGGCTGATTCGGCCAGGCAATTTATAAAATAGCCCCTCTCCTCCTCTTGAATTTGAATGCAGCATGGCATTGAGACATGCAAGAGGGGATGTCCCACTGTAAAAACACAAAAGAATGGATAAGAGTCACACAAATCCACATGCCAGTCAAAGTCCTAACACCCTCCAAATCATTGTTAAACTATATAAAGGGAAACATAAATATAGAAAAGATGTATCAAAATAATTCCACTACGAAAGCAGTAAAATAACTACCAAATGAAACACACATGTATCACACTCAAACTACTCTGGGATAAGAAACGTTAAAACATCTTGGTTCCACAGTTAACACCTCTGACAATATGAACATATTCTCAAGAAATTCAGACACAAATGTCAATATCTTTAAGGTTGCTCAAGAGTTTTAATGGAGGGGAGACACAAAAAAAGTTTGTCTGGGTTTTTTCTTTACCTTTTTTTAAAAAAAATCTATTATTAATTACAATGAAAATTTAGAGACTTTGGATTTCCATTCATTCAATGTTGCATTTTTCTCCACTCCCACCCCTCCCCCTAGTACGCTACCCTCTTGGAAAAGTAAAAGAAAAATTCTTTCATTGTTTTACAATCCCTGCCCCCAGGTCCACTCCACTATACAGCCTTCGCTGTGGACACCTCTGTCATGACAAAAATACCTAATAACATATCCCTCTTAAACAGTTTTCTCCCTCATCTATTTCAATGCAGTATACATTACTGAACCCATCTTTCTCAGTCTCCCCCCAACCCTGAGGTCAGTCCTGTTTTACAATAGTGGCACCATGCAGTATTTGTCGGTTTGTGACTGGGATACTTCACTCAGCATAATGTCCTCCAGAGTCACCCATTTTAAATAATATTACTTTAGTTCCTTGTTTTTCAGTGCAGCATAGTATTCCATTGTGTGACTATACCACGGCTTCTCTATCCATTAATTTGTTGACGAGCACTTAGGTTGTTTCCAACTCCTTGCTATTGTGAACAAAGCCGCGATAAACATGGGTGTGTATATATCTGCTTGGATGCCAGTTATGGTCTCTTTGGGGTATATTCCTAATAGTGGAATTGCTGGGTCAAATGGTATCTATTTGCAATTTTTTTAGAAAGCGCCATACTGCCTTTCACAGTGGTTGTACCATTTTATGCTTCCACCAACAGTGCATAAGAAGGGTTCCAGTTTCTCCACAACCTTGCCAGTATTTGTTGCTTGCTGTTCTGTTAAATTTTGCTATTCTGACTGAGGTGAGATGGTATTTCATACTTGTTTTGTCAAAAAAAGTTTTAATGGAACATATTACTCAATAATTTTAATAGTAACTAAAAACACAACTCATTTTCAACACCTACATTTTACCCAGCAAATAACGCTCAGAAACTGCCATATATTATCAGTATAAGGATCACAGAAGCAGTGACACCCTCCCAATAAAACAAGCACACTTTTTCAAGTATTTCCTAATAAATACACCAAATGGACACTTTTTCTTTTTTTTTTCAGTTTAGACACGACAGAAAGTGAGCTTCATTCTACATTTATCCAAAAGCAATCAATCATTTAAATGTGAATGTACAAAAAAAAAGTCATATGGATTTTAAATCCAGTAATGCTCAAATATTAAACCAAAAAAACGTGGCATATTGTTTCCTGGTGCCTGTCACAACCAGAGGTTACAAAACAACGTCATGAGATAGAAGGTATTTAACTCAATCTTTTATAAAGCTGTCAAAAGTAGACATTCATTATTAATAGTAACAGTTTGACACTAGTGTGTTAGTGCTAGGGATCACCTACACACCTTTTCTTCCCTAGCATGTTAAAAAAAAAATAAATATTTGAAGTAAAGCCTCTTAGCATTTCATTTTTCAGAATCAGACGTCCTAACTTATGCAGGATGTTAAAAATAATCTCTAATTCTAAAAAAAGTAATAAAAAAAAAATTCAAACCCACTACGTATTCTGCTTTGGAACACACTGGATGCTGGGGAGGAAAAAAGGTTCATCAAGAACCCATGTCTCTAAAGTAACTTTGTGCAGAATCTGGAGTGTCAAGTGGGTGTGCTACCATCTCTGGTACAAGGGAAACTACATGCTGGCAGAGTCCTCCTGTGAACAATGTGACGCCTACATGCTACACCTCTGTCTACAAATTACAGAGCTGCTCACTCAGTACAAGCCACCATGATTGCTTCATAATTCCTAAAAGAGGAAGAAATACATACAAAAATGAATGTTCTCAACTCTAGCTATCTCAAAGAAACTAATTTACCTTCTACAGGCACAGTGGTCCAACAGGAATGCAGACAGCAGCATGATGGAAAAGAGCCCCAAAAAAAAACAAAAATAAAACTCAATTATAACACTACACAGTGCATATCTACTATTTAAATGTATGATCTTGATCTTCCCTCCCCACGAAATGTCTACTCAATAATGTCTGAACTGATAATTGGAAAGTAAAGATCTTTTGTCTCTCAAAGGTTAACTCAAGATGCTAAAGTTTGACCAACAAAACCATATGCTGTTTGTTCCAGAACTGTTAGGCTCTCCTTCCTCGTTTAAAATAAAAAATAAGTAACAAGAACAACAACACTAGTGGATGCTACGGTAGCGATGGAGCTTTAGGACATTATGCTGAGCAAAGTAAGGCAATCACAAAAAGACAAATACTGCATAGCCTCACTTATTTAAGAAGAAAAGGCAAATGAAGACAACAAAGTTTATTAGTGGTTACCAGGAGTGGGAGGGAAAGGAAAAGGTTAATGGTGATGGAAAAATCACATTGATTAAGGATAGGGCTGCATGACTGATTACTGTAATTGCTATCAGTAAATTGTATACTTGAAAATAGTGGAGTTGGTAGAAGTTGTGGGATATATATTTACAATGACCAAAAGAAAAAGAAGGAAAAAAAAGAGTAGTTGTTGAGAATGTTCATATACAACCAAACACCTCATAGGATTTGGTTCCTTGGTTGGGAGGTTGAGGGTCATGTTTTCATGGGACATACCAGTTAATTGGCCTAATAACGTGTTTAGTGTTTCTGGTCTACCTCCTAGATCGTTGTGTACTGCCTGGGGTCTTAAAAGCTTGCAAGCGGCCATCCAAGGCACAACAAGTGGTCTCTATTCACCTGGAACAAAAGTCAAAGAAGGAGAGTCAGGAACAGGAGGATATAGAATATGTGGCTAGTTGCCTCCAGGAACTGCCTCTGTTGCCATGAGACCAGCAGAAATGGATGGTGCCTGGCTAGCATTACTGAATAAATCAGATCACAGACTCATTTATATAAGAATCTTGGTCAAATACAAAACCAAATTTCAAATTCTCATGTACTCTAGACATAGAAGGGAGCTCTAGTGGCAAGAAGCTGTGCTACAATCCTAAAGGCACTTGGTTCAAATTCATCAGTTACTCCACATAAGAACAGGTAATCTCCTCTTCTGTAATTAACTGCATCTGAAAACTCACTGGAGGGTCAGCTACGGGTCAGTTCCAACTAAACGGTACACATCAACATTATCTAGACATAGAAGGTGGATGGATGCCTGAAATTTGTTCTGAGATAATCCTTACAACTGAAAACAAAAATATTCCTTGAAGGCTTATTAAAGCCAAACAACAGCTTACTGTGTACCATCAATTTGGAACCAACTCACAGCTGACCCTCCAGTGGGTTTTCAAAGGCAGTTAATCACAGGGGAAGAGAGAGTCCATCTTTTCTCCTGCAGAGCAGCTGGTGGATTTGCACTGCAAACCTTTGGGCTGCCAGTGCAATTCCTTATCACTATATCACTGGAGCTCCAGTTACTGAAAAAAGTCTGCTGTGAGCACTATACTCTTTAAAGATCTAACCAAAATATATAGTTAAGACTCTCAATGAGATGACTAACACAGAGGCTGCAGTAATTGGCTCAAGCAAAGCACAGGATGGCAGAGGGCTGGGCAATGTTTTGTTCTGCTGTATATAAGGTTCCCGTGAGTTGGAATCAACTCACGGCTCCTAACTGACAGGCCAAACACCACCACATGGGAGCAAACTGACAAGAGCAACTAGTAAGAATAAATAGGACAATTACAGGGCAATGAGTTTACGCTAATTCAGAAAAGTAGGATGAGAATGGCCACACAGTAAGAACAAAATCAATGTCACTAAATTGTATGCTATAAGAAAAGCTGTTGAATTAGTATATATTTTGCATGTATTCTCAATTACAAAATAAATAAAAGGGGAGAAAAAACATGCTCAGAGGGGCAGGAGAGGGAGATTTGGAGGTGAGGGTGAAGTGATGGTATTACAAAATACAATTATGCCTACAGTTTTTATTACACTAATATTTTTCTAACTTGTTGCTTCACTATGAAACTGCGCATAATAAATAAAGGACAGCTCAAATTTTAGTATATCCACATCATGAATAGCTAGAATAAGTGGGGAAAATCAGTGTACTGGTAAGTCCACCCTTGATCCTAAAGAAAGGACTTCAGAGGTACAGTGTGGAAGGGCACATGCTCTATTACTGAATCAAAGCATGAGAAAGCATGAGCCCTGAGGCTTATATGTGCAAGCTGCACCTCCAAACTCCACAGGGAAGCAGCTTAGGGGAGATCCACTACACCTAAGAGGAAAGAGATGGCTGCTCACTCACTCCCATTCCACAACCTGGAGACAGTGCACCACCACCACACAAACATGTATTTAAAAACATGGATACTTACTCATTTCACTATATAACTACAGAAAACCCCATGTCCTATGAAACCTTCATGATAAGCAACAAGAGTGATACAAACCTCATTTCCTTTAGTCCTTCTGCCTCTATAACCTGCAGAATCTGTTTTGGAGTCATTGGTGCATCCGAGTAGTTTTCTAAGACCTGAAGAAATAGAAATGTCCTGATTCAGTGTGCAATTTCCATTTTTATCCACAATCTTTTTTTAAACTCTTTTTTAAGACATCCCCCCCCCCACCTTCGTTGCGTACCGTCGAATCAGATCTGACTGGCACAGGAGGAGATTGCCCCTCCTTCTGCAGGAGAACATCTGGTGGATTTGAACAGCACGCCTTCGGGACTAGAGCAGCTTCTTGCCACTAGGCCACCAGAGCTCCCTTTATCTACAATCTGTATTATGGGGCTACAGTTATGCTAGAAGTAACCACTAGCAAAAAAGAAGAAACCAGTAGCAACAATTTTGCTCTCACAATTAAAAATTATTTTAGAAACCAAGTTACACATAAATCCAGTTGCTGGAAGTAATTGCAATTAGTGACAATACTCTAAATCCTCAAGACTATGAGCATATATCTTCACAGCAAAATACACAAGTAACATGTATGTTGTTGTGTATCACTGAGTCAGAAATGACTCACTGCTGACTCTCTGGCAGATTTCAGAAGCAGTTAATTGCACAGGAGGAGTGTCCATCTTTCTCCCATTCAACAGCTGATGGATTCAAACCACCAACGTTAGGGCTGGCAGTGCCACTATACACACTTACCGCTATATACATGATACCAATGTGCGGCTGTGGTAACCCTGGTTAGTGTTTAATTTGATACTGTTAATGTGGCTAAATCACAAAATATATAGCAAGACATAAGAGAGAAGTATTCTGATTTTTTTTACTTATGAAGTTTGATTAGTGCTCATATTTTTAAGATGGTGCTTCTGTTACCATGTTGTGAAATTGTGGTATTTACAATGTGCTATTCACCAACATTAAGCTCTAATTCCATGCGACTGACAAAAGCAAAATTTTGAGAAATGGAATGTCTCATTTATATTAGTATCTGTAAGTCATGGCAATATTTTCTTAGTGATAAATAACAGCTCTCCAGCTTTAAGCAGTAGAGCTGTTAAAAAAATAAAGTGGAGTTGTTTGAGAAATACGCCTAAGTGGGGAGAAAATAAACTTTATATTTTTTTTGTACCTGTGCAGTTTCTGAGGTTACTCCAAATCAACCAGCATCTTACAATCTCTAACAATTACAACCACCAACTTTGGCAGATGTAGACTAGTTTAAAACAAAAAAAAAAAAAAAAGGAAGATGTAAAGCAAGCAGCCTCACAGAGTATACTTCGAATGGCAGTCCTATGGAGAGTATAAACCCATAGCACAAAGGGAAGCCAACCAACACACAGAGAAGTAGATGTTTTAATAAAAGCTCTACTTACAGTAGTCTCATTCCGAGCCTCCTCTTTCTCAATTCTTATATTCTACTTGGGTAACATTAGGGTCTCATATAGTTGCCACTATCACCTAAACTCTGATAACTCACAAATCTTCACCTATAGTCTCAACTTATCCCCAATCTTCGGACTTCAATATTCAATTCTTTGCTAGTTATGATTCCTTACTCATCTATAATCCAGTTGCGGAGGAGTCAATTCTAACTAATGGTAACATGTGGTCATAGTAGAACTGTACCCCATAAAACTTTCAATGGCTGTTTTTAAGAGTAGATCCGACCCATAGGCCTTTCTTCAGAGGTGCCTCTAAGTAAGCTTGAACCACTAGCCTTCCAGTTAATAATCAAGCATTTCACTTTCTGCTTTACCCAGTGACTTCAAAACTAGTGACTACTGGCCGGGTCAATTCCAACTCAAGGAAACTTTGCTGGTCTCAAATTGTCAACTTCCAGACCTCCTTACATTTTCTTACCTTGGCAGTTAACCTGTCCAGTCATCTAAATCACAAATCAAAGTTTCATTCTTCAGTCTCATCTCTCCCAAAGAGCCCATAGTCGGTCTCCTACCCAAGCCAACATGACTGCCTCCTCAGTGAAATCTCTGCTTTGCTCAAATCCATTCTTCCACTGCTACTATTCAAATGAGGCATCTACGTACTCTGTGCCAGGCAGGATTCTAAAGGTCCACCACTAAACAAGGTCAAATCCCTGCTCTCAGAGTTCCATCATGAGACCACCCCACCAAGGAACATCTGTCCCATCATTTTGCCAGTATAGTGTGTAACACACTACACTGCTAACCAAAAAAGTCCGTGACTCTAATCCACCAGTTACTTCATGCAAAAAAGATGGATAATCCACTCCCTTAAAGAGTGACAGCCTTGGAAACCTAATAGAGGGGTCATTACACACCAAAAACAAATGGACAGCAGGTAAATGGACATTTTATAGAGCCATATACAGCAAAACTATTGGGAGCTCTGGTGGCCTGGTAGTAAGGAGCTGTGCTGCCAATCCAAAGGCATGCTATTTGAACCTGCCAGCTGCTCTGTGGAAGGTGGGCAATCTTTCTGTGCCACTGAAATCCCACTAGAAATTCAGCTATGAGTCAGGAACTGACCCAACAGTACATACTATCACCACCACCACCACCACAGCCACACTTAAGTTTTCCAATCAGTGTGGGCCATGGAAGAGCAGAGGCTTTGAATGAGACAGCTCTCATGGCTTAGCGGTAAGGAACCGAACTGCTTCAAATCCACCAGCTGCTCCATGGCAGAAAGATGGGCAATCTCCTCCCACATGATAAACTGCCTCTGAAAATCCACTGAAGGGTCAGTTCCAGCTTGATGGAACACAGCAACACTCTTGGACAAATTATCGCCCCCAGCTTGAACCTTGGGTTCTTCATTTGACAAGTCTGGATACAAATGTCTCCCTCTGAAATTGTTTCAGGGAGTGCATTACCTACAACTCAGTGCCAGTCACAGAGTAAGGGGCAGAAAATCCTCATACTCAGGCCTTTCTCTGTCTGAGTGTCGAAATGATACTCCATAAATTTTAAGTTTCAGAACTACTGGCAGTTATGCACCACTCTTCTGACCTGCAAATACACATGAAACACACACACCCCACTGCTACTACCATCACAGTTCCAGCTCATAAGCACTGTAAGGACGCTCACTCCCACAAGCTCAGAAAGTGTTCTTCCAGTTTTGGAACATAGCTATATTGTATCCTTCAAATCAAAACACTTGGGGCAGGGTCACAAAGCCCACCACCAAGGAGTCTATTCCAACTCATAACCTTCCTTTAGGTTCCCAAGGCTATAAATCTCAAAGGGAAACTGCTTGTCTGTCTACCAAGGATTAATTAAGTGGTTCAAATTGCTAACCTTCTAGTTAGGAGCTTACACATTACACCACACTATCAGAGTGGAAGAAGAAACTATTAATAATTATATTAGGCAAAAGGAAAAAAACTATTTTATACATCTATGATGGCACTAGTAAAGGCTTATTCCTTAGAAAGGGACACCATGCCTGGAAAGGTGGAGGGTCAGTGAAAGAGAGGGAAACCTTCAACAAGATGACTAACACACCTGACTATGGCACAGGAGAGAACAGGGTTCAGAGCTGTTGTTCACAGAGTCACTTATGCATCAAGGGCACCTAACAACAACAACATCATGATGGCAGTTATTACGTCTGTAATGAAATTCATCTCTTCATCCCCAAAAGACCACCAACTCCTCAGGCAACCTTTATCCATCTCTGTTACTCTAAGAATTTAAACTAACACCAAAAACAGCACTGTTGACTTGAACAAACCATAACCAGACCTGTACTGGCTACTAATATTCACTGACACAAGATATCATTTCTTTGATACTATTTAACTGTGAACTGAGCTAGTGGATTTTTGTAGGAAGGTTTGCGGTGAAAAACAAGACTCAGAAACATTAGCTACTAATTACTTAAACAATGTGAAGAACAGACTGAAAATCTCAAGGGAAACAAAATCTTTAAAAGAAAGTTACATCAAAAGATACAAAGTACTCATTTCTATTAAAACTCTATACAATCCAAACTTTCAGAATAGAAACAATTCAGTTCTATTCCTAGTGCACAAAAAGTGTACCCTTTTTTTAAAAAAAGTATTTCTTCTCCTACTTCAAAGGGGGGAAAATGTTTGATGTTAAGAATGGCCAGTCATGAATCAAAGTGAAAGATAAAGCATGCAATGAGGAGTTTCTCAAAGCCAGAGAGAATCCATTTAAGGGCACTCAGTTTGAAGGGAAATCCCCACGACCATATTCTCCCCAACAAACTGCTCATAACTTAACAAGCAGAAGGATTTCGCAGAAGGATTTCTATCAAGCCAACCTCTTAATGTCTACCTCTCCCCAGAAAAGCCATTCCAAAACATATGGAAGGATATCTACTTTTCAGCAACATAATTAACATGTACAAACCCCAAATCTAGAGAACAGTCCCTGCATTATGAATCTGATTCATATGAACCCAGCACTTCAAATCAAGCTCCTTCCAAAGCTATTATATATTAAAAATTAGAGGTACAGTTTTGTAATAACTGATGGGACAATTTTCAAAGTTCATCAAAATATTATTATTACTGTATTATTAAAGATGTTGTACTGTTAGTGCTCTTTAAGTATTGAAAGGAGCATTATATACTAAAATACTGGACTGACATTAAATGTGACCAAATCTAGCTTCTGACTAAGGCACAAATTAATTTAAAGACAGATGTAAGTATTGAATTTATAACCTCAGATTGCCTATACACTTACATCTTCCCACTAAAATTCTGCAGAAATTGCCTCTTTTTGCTACTGGAATAAATATATATTTTTTAAAGGCTATCATATCATCGTAGGCACCAGGATAAACAAGGCCGAGTGCAATTTACTTGCCCCAAAGCAAGTACCATTAAAAGCACTCCAAATTCACCAGTTCAAAGAAAAGTGTTGAGGTGATCTAATAGCTCGACCTACCACTCACTATAGGTCACTCACTCTCACACTGGCTTCTCTGTCCAGAGCGCTCACAAATTCCAATGTTCCATTTTACAGTAAACATAAAAATAGGAAGATGAGTCTTAAAAGGTTCCCTTACTCACCAATGTATCAAGAGAGATTAAGTTAAATCTAAGGCACATAAGCAGCACTCAAAATTACACATTCTATTTCTTTAAGTTCTCTTTCCCATGTATAAATGCACTCCAAAGTTAATTCCTATTCCCATTTTTAAGGAAGAGGAAGAATTTGTTTGGAACATCTGGCATGAAGTTGATCCAATGATAAAACAGAAATTGAAACCTGGATGTTAGAGCCCAAAGTACAGTAATCTCAACCTTAATATACTTGACAGGGCAAAGCACCCTCAAATTCCTGAAGCTTTTCAACTACCTGAGGGCCAATAGAGCTCTGAGACAGAGACTTTAGAATTCTGTCAAAATAAGATTTAAACACACAAGATCTAAAGGTACCATCACTTACCTCTAACAAGTCAAATTCTGCCAAGCAAATTAACACTGTGTGCCCAGAATCATAAACACCTGCCTACCAGGAACTCAGAGGAGGATTTCCATCAACACCCAAAGACTCAACCTCAAGGAGAAAGAGAACATCCTTCTATTTTCCTCCCCACTCCCCTCCTTTAGGCCTGACCCTACTTGCAGGTGAAACAATACTGGAGAAAATCTGTTATCTCCAAAAAATCCTGAGAGGGAATAAAAACTTGGACTTGACTGAATCAGAAAAACTATTAGGAAAACCTTCAAAATCTTCACATTTCAT